TGCACTCGCCCAGGACTCCCAGGTGGACATTCCACATGGGCATTTATACACCTGCCCCTGCGCACCAGGAGGGGCTCTTACACACCTGCCTCTGCACACAGGGAGGGGTTCTCACACACCTGCCTTCACACACAGGAAGGGGTCCTTACTCACCTGCCTGTATGAATAGTGTGCTCACAAACTGACTGGCCCTAAGGCCTGCTTAGAATTGCTGGAAGGCCTGGACTGGCCAGAGCAAGCCACATACCAGCAAGTGCAGTACACGGCACACGTCAGGGCCAAGGTGGACCCCAGCTGCTGGCAGAGGCCTCTGAAGAAACCACCAGAAAGCTGCCTGGAGTTTTAGAGCCACACTGCATGTGCACAGCAGGGCAGTGTCCCACGCACCAGCATGGACTGTCCAGATGCTAGGCCTTCTCTAGGGTGGCTGCAGCTCCTCTGTGACTGTTGTCCTAACAGTGGTGCATTCTAGGTCCTTCCGGTTGGCTGAGGACCAACAAAGACCCCATATCCTCTGCCTCAGGTGCTGACCTTGCCAGCCCAGTCTTTTAGTCACCAGGGGACTCCTGGGTTTGGTGGCAGCTGCCCCTCCAGCCTGGCCAACGTGTACCTCAAGGACTACACAGGGGTGGCTGGGAGATTAAGATCAGACTGCACCATGTGGTCAGGTGCCCTGGCCATGCTCACCCCTCCTATAAAAACCACTCCGAAACCAGCCCCCTTTCCTTTTCTTTTTGCAGGATTGGGGATTGAATCCAAGGACTTCCCACGAGCTACAACTCCAGCGTCCCATACCTTCCTGAGACAGAGTGTCACTAAGTCACTAGTTGTCCAGGCTGGGCTCAAACTTGCAATATCCTGCCTCAGTCTCCCAGAGTGCTGCTGGAAAGACAGTCCCTTTAAGAGTCAGTTGCCCTCTCCTGACAGACCTGCCTGCTATCCGTAACACACTCATGTTGCCCCGCAGCCCACTCTGTGGTGGTCCCTTGCCGGCCAGCACACCTGGCTGAGGCACCCAGGAGTGTCAACCACCTGGCTCACTGTGACTTGAGCCTCCTGCAAGGTGGGGCAGGGCCTTCCTGTGACTCCTCTGAACCAGGCCTAGGGAGGGCTCTTACACACCAACCTCCATGAATGGCAGTCTTTCAAATGGCAAACTGTCCCTGGGCACACTCAGATCTGCTGGGTAGCCTGGCCTGGGCAAACAAGGCACATGTCAGGGTAGAGTTGGCCTGAGGACCCACAATCCCCACTGTGTGAGGCTGTTGGTGCAGAACCACTGGCTACTAATGTAGACAAGATGCTGGGACTCCGGGGAACATGGTCACCGACTACCTCCTACCCTCGATGGTGACGCACTCTCCAGGGTAGGTCTACTTTGCCAGCCTTGTGCACTGGCATTTCCAGCCAGAGGCAGCTTTTTGCATCTGTATTCCTCCCACAGGATGTCTTTCCTCCTCAGAAGTGATCCATGTCCACCTGGGCATTGGTTGGTGCATATTGAGTTCTTGTCTTTTACTTCAACAGAAAAGAGGTTATTATTTTCGTTCACTATTAAAGAATTCCATGCTACACATAGTATATGTGCCAAACCCATCCTGACCAGGGAGGATCCAGGCAAGCTGAAAATGCCGGGGTCCAGTAACAGGGACGAGAAATGGGTGGAGCAGTCATGAGGTATCAGATGCAAGGCCTCTCCAGGGCAGGAATCTCACCCCTGCATGCACAGCTGTGTGAGCAGTGCCCACCACCAGTCCTCAGGCCAGCACCGGGGTTCTGTCTTCCTGGACTTGGGCCTCACCCTAAGCCAGTATGGGCCACCCAGGGGCATCAAGAGTTGCCCAGTACACCCTCAGACCAGTCGAGAGCCTGAGCCTGGCCTTCAGGTGGCTCCATGAGAATCCCAGACACCAGGTGTGGGGGCACACAGGAGCACCTACACCAGGCAGACACCAACGACGCTGCATCTGGACCCTGCCGTGCCCTGCCCTGGCTGTGTGGCCTAGAGGGGATGGGCACTAGGACAATGATCTAGCCCAGGAGGGCCAATGGGTGGCAGGGGAGGGGGAGATCAACAGTGCCAACTCAGGGCTGAGGGGACAACACACCCGGGTCTGGACATCAATATGGCTCAGCTTCAGACACTCCTGACCTTGGCACCCATCCACGGCTCACAGGTGGGAGGGCTGCAGCCTTGGGCAGAGGAACCATGGATGGAGACTGCGGGAGGCAAGCGTTTCAAGCAGGAAGGCAGGGTGGGGCACAGGCACCAGAAATGGACAGGGCAAATGGGCCTGAGCAGGAGGGACCAGGCTTCAGGTTGGGCAGCAGTCCTTGCAAACACATGCTAGGCCATGCAGATGAAAGGGGCACACGATTTCTGGAACACCTTCCAGTGTCCTGCCTGCCTGCCCATCCCGGCCCTGCCGCCTGTGCGCAGAATGGGCCTGGTCTTTGTCACTATGACGTGGCTGGAGTGTCTCCTCAGCTGCCACGTCTGGCTGTCCACCCATGCTGGGAACGGTCTTGGATCACGGGGCTCTGTTGTGTACTGTGGAGAAGAATTCATCATGGTGGAAACACCAACAGAGGAAAATGCCATTCAAAAGTTAAAACGTTTCACAGAACTGCTTGCACAGCTCTGTGAAAAATGTCCACTCTGTAAAACTACTACACTCAACGGCATGCTTCCCACCATGTCACTAGCACTGGGTCTAACCTGAGAGCTTGAGGATTTTAATTTAAAAAGCACTCACTTGTGAAAAATTCATTCTTATTGAATCAATTTTTAATTAAGAAATGCTAAAGTATTATGAAAACTCAGAAAGGAGCAAATCTATACACTAAGATAGGATTTGCTGTCCCACTGGCTTCCTGTTAGAAGATCCCCAGCAGCCCCTTCTGAGGGGAGCCTCTGCCCAGGAAGGCCTCTGCCCACTCCTCTGCAGCAGGTGCAGAGTGGAGCCCCCACCTTGAGGATGTCAGGTTCATCCAGTCTGACCAGCCCGCAGCTGTGGCCCACATGCTTCTCCTCCGCAGGGCGGACAGTTAACTGCAGCATTCTGTCCACCCATCACGACTGGTCAGCAAGGGCAGGGACTGTGCTTTCCTACCAAGAGGCAGAGGCATGTGTGCCCTGGCATCTTGGCTTTGCCATTTTCTGCTAAGAACAGACAATGTGGAAATTCCTCCCTGGGGCACAGGGCGCAGAGTCCAACCAAGGGATTGCTGAATAATTGCCGAATAAAGGGACAAATACAAGAGCTGTCTTCATTGCAACTACAGCACAGAGCCCAACACCTAAGGTAACTGAAACAGAGCTGAGGGGCCGGAAGCCCTGCAGACCCCTCCTCCTGCTGCTCTGCCATGGCTTCTGTAGGCCACAGCCTGACTTGCGCGTGTGACCACAGGTGCTGCCTGGGGCGAGCTCTGCCCTGGGGGACTAAGGGCCCCTGTGACTTCAGAGAAGCTCAAGTTTTGTTAAATTTTGGTCACTATCAAATTTGACTGAACAGAAAGCTACTTTAGAAAAAAAGTAAGAACCTTAATACAGAACTTTCACATTTACAATACCTCTAAGAACAAAGCACAGACACAAAACTACTGCTGCAAGGGTGTGCTGAGAATTGCAGGATTTGGAATGTACGACTTTATTGCAACCCTGGTTGTTACTTTTTTAAGGGTTGTATTTTTGTGAAACCAAATTGTTAGTGTGCTGAAACAGGAGACGAGGGGCATCTCTCAGCTTCCTCTTCTGGGTTTGCAGCTGCAGAGAAGCCCAGGGTGTGTACACCTCTCCCTCTACCCAGGATGTGCTCCCTAACCCCAGGGAATGAAGCAGTGGACTCCACACAGACGTCACACACTGTGTCATGGGAGCCACATGGGGCCAGGCACTGATGCATGCCACGCAGACACGCTGCGGTGAGCTGTGCCTCCCTGGGCCACGCAGTGCTTAGGACACTGCCTGTCCACGTTGGGCTTCAGTGAATGGCCAGCTCTTCCCTCGTGGGTCTGCAAGGCACTCACACCAAGGGACGCTGCCGCAAAGGCCTGATGCCAAGGTGCATGTCCACCTCGCAGTCACTACCTCTGGACCCTGGTGCAAACTGCTGAGGAACTTCACTTTCAAATCGTAATAACTGGAAGGAGGATGAGCAGAGGCGGACAGGACACATTCTTCTTCAGTGTGCTCCACAGCAGGGAAGCCTGACACCACTTCCACACCATACAACACCAGAACCACAGGCCACGTCTCCTGGACACTTGATCTACATCTGGTACAACCGAGAAACCGCACATTTTAATTTAAACATAAACCACCACATGCAGGGGACAGTTGTGGCCCTGTACAGCATGGTGCTATAGCACAAACCCCAAACTCACAGGACTCACTACATCCAGCCTAGTTCCTGGACAGGAATGCTGAACTGCAGCTATCCTGCAAGAAATGTACTTTTGTTTTCTAAGTCTAAGAAAGAAACACGATTTTCTTCCGCACTGCTCACCATTGACCATGTCCCGGCGGGCAATGAGGACAGGTGCTGTTGTTCCTTCAACTTTCTAGCTCACATCTCCCAGTGAGGACAGGGCTCAGGGCCCACATGGCGGCAGGGACCTGGGGCTGAACTTCCTTTCAAATCAAATGCACTGCGGTAAAATATATGGCCACTTTCTCTCTTTTTGTAGTGCTTCTCCGCTTTTTTCTCTTTGCTCTAAGAAATTGCTAAAATAGGAAAAAAGGCTGGAGAAAACCTCTTTAATATGGCACGCCTGAATTAAACTGAACCACACGAAGCTGGACAGCATGGGAAGTGTGGGCAAACACATGCATGTGTATGTACATGATGTGTGTGTGGGGTGGGGAGAAGTTCCACGGAAATGGCTTTATTTCTGGGAGCCCCAGGCTGCATGACCCAGGGCCTTCCTTCACCAGTGACCATATCTTCTCCACAGGATAAAATAAATCCACTGGTTCTAAATAAATTAAGAAGGTTCCAAACCTTTTAAACGGCAGTCATTTCCTGCCATTTTATTTACTAGGGGAAGTCCATTTTGCTAGGCCATTTCTTCCACTGTGATTTCTGATCTACGCTCCCATGGCTGTAAAGTCCTGTGGCATCCACAGACCCGGCAGTCTTCATCGCCGTGACACAGCTTGCGTGGAGGGCGCCACTCACTTCAGCCAGATCCACTTGTCACCCACGTCGGCATTGTACCCAGGGGCATACATGCGACCTGGCAGCTGTGGGGGAAGGCAGCACACGATTATAGAAGGCACACATTCCCTGGTCACTGCAACCTGGCCGAGCACCGCCTCTGCTGTGCAGGTACTCTGCCTGGACGCAGGGGCACGGGGATAACCACAGGGCGACAGGGCCACCTGCATCTGAGAGCAGAGGCAGCACCGGGGAGGTGGTGGGGAATCATGCAGGCAGCTGGGGCCAGGCCCAGAAATGCTGTGTCCTCATGCTGTGACCACCGTGACTAAAGCATGAACTCTAGAAACTCGAACAGGGCAACAGCAGGAAATAGCTGCTGATGCCACAGATGTGAGGACCAACTCCCCAGCTCTCTCCCTGTAGGCCTCTGAGCCCTGCAGGGCCTCTCTTCAGGGTCTCCAAGTGTGGCCTTCAGGCACACACACACAGGGTGCACGTCAGGGGGGCAACAAGAGGTTGCTCCAGGCAGCGGCCCTGTCGGCAGGCACCTGCTCCCAGCACAGTGACCCGGCGGGCTGCACCTGGACTTAAAGGGGAGAGGCTGCCACATGTGGGGCACAGGCAAGTGTGCTGTCTCAATTTCCTAGGTGGGAGAGGGGACAGAAGCCAGGGCCTTCACACTGAGCTAGACCCCAGCTCTCTCGCTTTGAGACAGTCTCTCAATAAATCACTAACTCACCCAGGCTGGGTTTGAACTTGTGATCCTCTACCCAGCCTCCCAGTGTGTGCCACTACGCCAGCTGAGCACTGCCATCCTTTATCAAGTTATAGCATGTGGAAACAGAAAACTGAGTTCATTCATACTTCAAGTCAATATGCACAAGCAGTACGTCTGTACCCAATGCACACACACACACACACACACCACTTCCCAATTCTGCCCTCAAAGAATAAGCACTATGACCTCCTCCTCCTCTAACAGCAGAGGGCGGTAGTAGCAGGCACACCGGCCACAGGCAGGTTTGGCAAGAGAACCAAGAAGGGCCAGGAGCACAGGTGACATACATCCCCAGCTCACATCTGTGAGTGCCAGCAGAACCAGGGCTGTCTCTGAGGCCAAAGCTCTGGGGCCTCAGAAGCCCTGCATCCATTCATCTTTCCTAGAGAGCCTGGCTGTCCATCCACAGTCTGGGGAAGACTGTCGTTGGCTCTCCAAGTCTGGAAGTGGGCGATCGCCGCTGGACTGGACTGGTTCTGGCTTCAGGCCTGGCATACAGTGTGAATTATGGCTTTATCTGAGTACCACACCTATTCTGGGACACAAGAGGAGAGAGCCCAGCTTCCCAGGAGGGGCGGCGTCACACTGGGTTAGTAGGGAACAGAGTCCAGGCAGGCCTGAGAGGGGGCTCGGATAGGAGGGAGCCCTGGTTCCCAACCCACGGTCCTGACACAGGTGCTGACAGAAGCTCAGGCTGGAAGCACTGTGAGCCCTGTGACATAGGGGTGGTAACAGGACACCTTTCATGGCCCCCCAAATAACAGGAAGGTGGTCTGCTCAGGAGGGTAGGCCAAGGAGTGCCCGCCACAGGAGGACCGCAGAGACGGTGGGAGGCAGCCAGCAATACGGGAGGACAGGATGGTGAGGCTGCTGCTCATAGCATGCTGTGCCGAGGAGGCAAAGGCGTGTGGATGACAGCCTCACAGATGGGTTAAGGACCTCGGATGAGGGGTGGGCACAAAGCCATCCCAGGTCCTGCAAGAGAGCAGGACTGCAGGCAATGGGCTAATCTGAGGCTGGGCTGGGGATGCAGATGCCTCTAGAAGCTGGAAGAGGAAAGAAAGCAGCATCCCCCGGCCGCCAGAAGCAACCCCTGCCAGAGGGCGCTCCACACTGGCAATTAGACAGGCATGACAGGGCACTCGCCTGGAGGGTCTGCTTTCTGTGAGGAGACAGGTGGGCAGGTCTGTCAACAGAATCCGGCATGGACTCATGCGTGGGAGCAGGTGGCATACAGGACAGACCAGCACCAACCCTCAGGCAAGCCCCAGGCCCCCACCCCAGAACTGCCAGGAAAACAGTGCTGTTCAAGCAGCCTCACAGAGATGGGGGTCCTCGCAGATTTACTAGATGGACCAACCTGCAGAGAGCTACACCCCAAGAATAGCACCCACGGCGCACACAGATCACCGCGAAGGTTTTGCATTTAACAATGACAGCCAGGGGCAGCTGCCTAGAACTGCATGGGGTCAGCACACCCAGCGTTCTCAATTAAAGTCCTTGCTAAACAACACACTGAGCCCAGGAGTGGCCACACAGTTGACACCACAGGCCCTTCAGAGGACAGGCTGGATATGGCAGTGTGGCTGCTTTCACCTTTGCAAGTGGAATTTTAAACCAGAGCAAATGAAAGCAACCAGAGTACCAAGCCTGCCGAGCCCAGCCAGTACCTAAGTGCCTCACAAACCCATGCTCTGGGCTGCGGGGTGGGGGTCACTGGACTCTGAAGTCCAGGGGCGGCCCAGGTCCTGGGTCTCTCTTCAGTGTGTGGGAGCCAACAGGGACCAATGAGAGGAGTTTCATTTGGAGGATCGCATGCAGAAAGAATGCAAATCAGCTTATTTTACATTATTTCACACCAGCACCTGCTAATTTAAAACAAGCCTTCAACCTCTGAGAAACAGTCCTCTCATCATGCCAGGAAAAGCCCAAATGCCAGGAGCCTTCCCTGCAGGACTGAGCCCATACACCTTGCCAAGGAAGATGGACATCCGACCTGCCAGCTTCAGGGTCCGCTGGGGAGAGGCTGACTGAGGGTCCCTAGAGCAGCACCCTCACTGGTCTCTAGACTGCAGGCCCTTTGGACTCACTCAACTCTTCGCATTAGTATGGTTAGTACTCTTAGGAGGCCGCTTCCCCACATGTCCCATTAAAAATCAAATAGCCATTTGCTTACTAAAATAAAGAAGGCACAGCAGATCACAAACAAAGCGTTCAGAGCTCCTCCAGAACCGAGGCCAGAGGAGCTCACCCTGCCCAGGCCAGTGAGACAGTCCACCGAGGCTCAGGCCAGGCGCTGAGGAGCCCACTGCCCAGGGAGGCCAACCCACAAGGGCGGCTCCAGCACAGCTGGGGTTTGCACCCCTATCCATCTTGCTCGGGGGTCTGGACCTGCACCTTCTTCTCCAAGCAGAGCAGACTTAGCTGCACTGTGCACTGGAGGCTTGCAAAAGCATCTCTGCTTCCCAGTTATTTAACAAATCTGTACACCAGGAGCCAGGTTTAACTTAAACCAACATTTAAACAGTGAAAGCCATGGCAATCTCGGCCTGCAGCTTAGGGGTTAATGGCACACAGTGTGGGAGCTCTCCATGCTCCGCTCCCTCCACCCTGACCCTTCCACACAAGATGCTGACTGGGAAGGACGCAGAGAGGAAGCCCAGGAGGCTGCCTCAGGAGTGGTAGGGAAGGAGTATTTCCCTATCCCGATACCTTTTTGTGGCCTTCTGAATATACAGCGGTGCAGGTGTCTTTCTAGGTAACAAAGTCTGAAGAGCTTGCTGAGGTCATGGAGCTCAGGTCCATTTACAGGGCCGACATCTGAGCGCCTGTCCTCTCGTGGCTCCTGCTCCCAGACCCTGAGTGTCCTGTCCCCCCACTTCCAGCCTGTGGGGGACCTGTGCTACCAAGCCACACAGTTACTAGTGTTCCTTGCTGCAGCACTTCAACGCCCTGCAGATTTATCTGCTCAGGATAAACCTCCAGAAAAGGAACTGCTTGCTTAAGGAAAAACAATCAACAAATGGAACAGCAGATGCCGATGCAGCCATCAATTTAAATTGAGTGGGCTCAACTTAATCATGTGCAAGCTCTGGCCCAGATCACCGCACTGTGCTCAGTGTGTAGGCTGACTCAGGCTTCGGCTCCTCCTCAAGGTCTAACCCAGCTCTCAGCCTCTTCCTGGCCCCTGTGAGGGGGAGCAGGGCAACCTGGCCACCACGCTACCTCTCAGTACGGTGTTAGGCATCATCCTGCCACTGGTCCACAGGAAAGCAGCGTCCAGGACAGGACAGCCAGAGGTGTTTACAGGGAAGCATCTCTGACCAGTGTGCAGGCAAATACAGGGCTTTATCGCTGACTCACCCTTGGCAGGGAGTGCCCATGGGTGCCAGGCCCCATGCTGGGCACTGGGACGGTGCAGGAACGGGATGGTTCCAGCAGCTTCTGAGCAGTGCAGAGAAGGTGATGCCCTAAAGTGCATGACACAATTCACACGCAGAGCTGATGCTAGCGAAGGTGTCCACCTCTGCACACCTCAGGTCAGGCTGTGTCTGTGCCATGAGGGCCATGGCTGCACAATGAACTCGCATCACACAATTCCGACACGCACCACATCCATGTCACCCAGCCAGCTGTGTGGACGAATCAGGCAAGGGAAAAACATCCGTGTCTTGTACCTGCTCCTGGAGGAAACTGAATGCCTCCTACATGGGAAGCACGGAGCCCTCACTGCTTTGAGACATGAATGAAAGTCAGCCCCCCTTCCCCAGCTCTAGGATACACACTTGCAATGTGGGTGGGGCCTGGAGCAGGAGGGAAAGGATGAGAAATACCACCTCACCAGCACAGAGGGCACAGCTTGCAGTGACAGACCTGAGAAGGGAGAGGAGGAAGGAGGAGAGGACAGTGAGGAGGAAGCAGGAGGGAGCAGCACAGCAGACAGCGCATGGCACAGCCAGCACAGGCAGCTGCAGCCCACTGCAGCCCTGGTCTTCAGAACTCCAGTTGCAAAACTCCTCCCCTAGCACACCTGACTCTGGGTACTCTGAACTCCAGTGCCCCTGGCACCCAGTTACAGCACCGGGGCCCAACCGCCTGAGGCCAAACCACACGGGGCAGTGTCAGCAGCTTCTCTCCATGGCCAGGAATAGGTCTGGCCTCTCCCTCCCCATGTGCACTCTAAAGTGGACAGACTGAGTCTGGTGCTCACACCTGATGCTGGGCAGGTCAAGGTGGCTAGTGTCTGGGGGACAGAAGGGATGGGCAGCGGGACCTGAGCTAAAAAGCCACAGAAATTGCCCAGGG